CGAACCCACTTCAGAAGCCATTTCGTGGAGGCCCTTTCACATTTTTAGTCTTTTCATTTCCATCTCGAATTCACACCTATCTAGCAGGGCTGTTGCTAGTGTAAATAACCCCTAAGACCATTGCAAACTCAGACTTTTGATAATCCAATTCGGAACCCTTTGTTCAGCTGTGTGCTAACAAACCCCAGAGAGAGATTCTCTACCCCTTTTCTCTTGTGTTTTCCTTCGCGGAGATTACAGAAGCGGCCGCGTCATCGGCACCCAATCCGTGCTCCTGATCCTCGAGTTTAGGTTGCGTAGGTTGGTTCTTTGAGAGTGTGGTTGGGCGAATCCTTGGTTCAGGCTGCCGTATAGAGACGGTGGTTGGCTCCTTGTGCGTGTCGTCAGGTTGCACTAATTATCGCTGCTTGCAGCAAGTTATCGGTCGTTCTTCGGCTAGTTATCAAGATCAATCTTACGTCGTGAAGATCGGGACAACAACCTCATCAGTTGACGGAGGACCGAGTGCATGGCGACGGTTCACGAAAACGGACGGCCGAGATTCATCCATCCAAAACGGACGGCCAAGATCCATCGGTCCACAACCGGACCATGGCGGACTGCAACGATGACGTCGGCGATGACGTCATCACCGGCGACGGCTCGGCCTCGCGTGCTCGCCGGCGAACGACGGCGCGGCGGCGCAAACGGAGGACACCTACGCGTAGCGGACGGCACGGCGAACTCACTGGTGACCAAAACGACGGCGGAAGATCAACGGACGACGACAGCGACGAGGAAGAGCGGCGGCGACGATCGGGTCAACGGCGGCGACGGTGCTCCGGCGGCTGACAGCGACGGCGAAAGGGCGGACGAGGACGGCGACGCGACGGCGACCACGGCGGTGACCTCCCCGAGCGACGACGACGACTGGAGCGATGGCGGCGCACTGCTGGAGTGGCGGCGGCGACGGCGGCGCGAGGCGGCACGGCGCTAGAGCTCTACCGGCGACGAGAGGCTAAGGCGAGGGTGGCGGCAGGTATAGGGGAGCTTGGGGGGTCAATTTATAGGGTCTAGGGAGCGGCGGCGAAGGCCCACGGCGACCGGTGACGGGAAGGAAGGTTTAGGGTTCGGAGGAGACAAATCGATCCGAATCGAACTCAAATCCGGCGATTTCCAAAGCGATTTAGACGATGTTTCCAAAAGGGAAAAGGTAGAGTGGATCACGGGGATCCTTTCCCCTCAATCAATTTCACCGGAAACGGAAAGGGATGGCCGGATTTGGAATGGCGGCGGCGGCGCAGCTCGGCTAGGGTTTCGGCGAGAGGAAGACGACGACTGACGGGTGGGACCCACCTGTCAGCGGCGGTCGCACGCACGCGCGCGGGCGGCTCGGCTTGGGCTGACTTGGGCCGAGGGAGAGAGAGAGAGAGAGCGGTTTGGGCCGGCTTTCGGCCCAAAACCAAAAGGGACTTTTAAAAACCTTTTTCCATTTAAATTATTCATGAAATGCAATTCCATTTATTAAAAATACTTCCTTGGCTCAAATAAACCCCAGAAAAATCTAGGAACTATAGAATCAAGTAAAGTATTTAATAAAATTTTATCTAGCCCACTTTTATATTGGAATTTAACAAATTAAAATTAGATCTTCTCTTCTAGGCTTTTAAGATCATTTCTAATAATTCCCTTTTAGACAACAATTTATAAATTAAGGATTTTTAAACAAGAAAAGCACTTAACATAATTATAATTAGATCATTAATGATTAAATAATTACTGAACTGTTCTTTGTATCATTTAGGAATTGAGCTCTGAAAAATCCGAGAAAATTTCAGAGAGTATAATTAATCATGGAGAATTTAATAAAAATTAAATCCAACCATGATTTATATTTAGGAAATTTTATTTCCCACATTTAACTTCACTTGTTAATTAAAGAACATTTAATATAAATTCTATTAATAATTTATTAGATAACTTATAAATCCTGAAACAAAATTCAGGCTGTGACAGTTTACTGGAACCGAAGCGGTGATCATGGTCTTGGTCTGGTTCAAGATGTTGACGACGTGATTGGCTTGATTGAGTGCGTCTTCCTTGAGGAGGGTGTCGAGAAGAGTGATCGGTGCAGCCGCGTTCTGCTAGGGGGTGCGAAAAACCGCCGTCCCCTCAACGTCTTGTTGCCCGATGAGCTCTCGTGCTCGTCGCTCGGCCTCCAAGGCACGCTGTCGCCGGTCCTCAGCCTCCTTTGCAGCCCGTTCGCGCTCCTGTTGCTCACGCTGCAATCGTTCTCGCTCTTGTGCTTAGCGTTCCTCCTCTAGTCGGCGACGTTCGGCTTCTTGTCGCACGCGCTGTTCTTCTGCTTCTTGGGCTTGGCGCTGTTCTTCTGTCTCGTTGTCGGCCATGAAAATGCCGAAGTAGAGAGGTGTGTAGTTATCTTCGTAGCCTTCATCGAAGTCGTCGAGGTTGCGGTGGTCGTAGCGGTAGCCGAAGTCGTCGTACTCTACGATCTCTGTCGGTCGAGAGTCGACACCGGGGGAGCTAAGGTAGCCGTCCAATTGTTCCGTCGAAACCGTGCCGAGAGGCTGGAGTATGATGCCGACTTCCCTAGAGCTAGACTGGATCGGGGCCGAGGTCGGGTCCCGCCTAGGCCTACGGGGAGAAGACGCCCTTATGGTGAAGATGGCAGCCAAGTCATCGGGGAGTTTCATCAGGATTGGAGGATAGGCGCCATCGTCTTGATCGGGTCATGTTGGAGTAGATTGGATCTCGTCCGAGTGGTTTGGGGCCGGCTCGGTTGTGATGATCCTGGAGTAGATCTCGGCCGACTTCGGGATACCGAACGGGGCGGAGACCTGGCCTCTCCCCGACTGTTTCGGATCTGAGCCGAGGAGAGAAATCTTGCCGAAGTCGTTGGTGACAAAGTCGAGGCTGCCAAACCGGAACGCCTGCCCGGGAGGGAAGACGAAGTCGTCGATGCCGGAGATGAAACCCATCGCACTAGTCGGCGAAGAACTTGACGCTACCCCTACCTGGCACGCCAACTGTCGAAACGAGATTTCGGCAATACTAAAAGGGGGTGGCTATCAAGCTGGAAAAGTGGATGGGTTGAGAGACAAGGAATTTTATACAGGTTCATGCCTTCTTAATAAGAAGTAATACCCTACTCCTGTCCGGGGATTGATCCGCCGAGTATGTTATTGACCGTATGATCTGGGAGAAAATCGTGCCCTTAGAGGCACCCGGACCCCTCCTTATATAGGGGAGGGGTCCGTATTACAAAGTACAATCCATATCCCTAACGGAATAGGTAGTTACAGATAAGTTACAATCGTAACCGACTAGGATCCCGGATATTTCCTTGACATACAAGTTTGAAATTTAATCCGAGTCCCTTTAAAAGATATTCTATCTACAGATGGCACCCCATACCCAGTCAGACTATATATGCCGTGTGGGTATGGGGTATCCATAATCTCTATACATACCTCAAGATATGGAGCTCATTGTACTGAAAAAGGCAATTTGATATTGGCTGTATAGGGGCAGAGATTTGCAGTCCATACTGACTACTGAAACTTAAGAGTGCCTCTAGAATTCCGCAGCAATGTTGGGTGAGTAAATTGTAGGGCATGGCTACCAGAATGAAGATGTTGACATACTGTCCCAGCACTATTTCGAACAGGTCCAACGCCATGTCATCCAATGTGTACATAATACTATACACATGCAAAAAGAGGGCCTAAGGCACCACGGGCATCTTTTATGGAAGTATTCTCCCTACATGTCACACTCTCAGAATCGCTTAATTTAATAATTCATTCTTTAATGCATTTTTTAGAAATTATTTTAAAAACCTACAAGATAAACCCTAATAAAAACTAGCAAAATCGCACATAAAATTGAGATAGATACAATTTTATTAAATACTTTGCTTGTTTATCTATTTCCTGGATTTTTATGTGAATTATTTGAGCAAGGGAAGTATTTTTATTAAATGAAATAGCATTTCACGAATTATTTTAATTAGGAAAATTTTTAAAATCCTATCCTAATCTGTTGGGCCCTTTTCCGGCCCAACTCTTCCCCTCGCGCGCGCGAGCCACGCGGCCCTGCCGGCCCAGGCCAAGCCGCCCCTCCCCCTCTCTCTAAGCCGCCGACATCTGGGGCCCACATGTCGGGGCCATCCCCTACCTCCGGCCAGTCAAGCCGAGCCCGACCACCACCACCTCCCCACCAAATCCGCCGCTGGTCGTCGCTCCCGAGTTCGATTGGATGAGGGAAATTTATCCCCTCATCGTCCTCTTCCTTTTCCCCTAAGAATCGGAGCCGAATTTCGTGTAGTTTATCCAAATCGAATTCGAATTCGAGTTTATCTCTCCACCTAACCCTATAGTTTTACGGCTTTGATTCCTCTCGGTGTGGGATCGATCTCGAGCTTCCGTGCCTATGTAAATGATCCCCTTGTCGTCCTCTACCATTGCCCTGAAGCCACGTCCTCCGCCGTGGTCCATAGCACAGCCGCCGCGTCCGTCCTAGTGGTCGCCGCAAGCCTAGCCGCCCCACGCCACCGTTGTGGTCGCCGCCGCCGCTCACTATTGTCGCCATCGGGTTCGCCGAGTGGAGCCGCACCCCGTCCGCTCCTCCGTTGCCGTCGAGACCCGCCGGAATCCCGCCGTCGACGCCGCCCAGAGCCGCGCCGCCGTTGGAGCTCACCGCCGGCCGCCGTTCGTCGTCGTCCGTCGTTGTTCTGAGCACCGGTGAGTTCACCTCGTCGTCCTCTCCACGATGGTGCCCTTGGATAGCCCGGCCGAGCCCTGTAGCACCGGTGATCTCGTGGTCCCGTGCAGTGCCGACGATGACGTCATGCTGACGTAAGAAAAGCCCTTTTCCTTCTTCAAAATAAATCTTTATTGCGTCGTAAATCATAATAGTTTTCTGTATTAGGTTAAAAGCATATTAATCTTACAAAATTCATAACTAAATCATCGTAACTTGGAATGTTTTCTTTTACTGGGAAAACTACCAGAGCATTGTCTAGTAGTATATTTTCATTACATAGAGCAAATATGTACAAAAGTTACAGGGAAACACAAAAGATTACAAAGTTTGTAACCAGTCAAAAACTAATTGCTTTAAAGGATCCTTCATTCTGCAGATATACTGAAGAATTTTGTTCTTGAAATGGTTTCTCCATGATTGAAAAGGAGGGGAAATATTCTGAAAAATAAACCCATTTCTCTGCTTCCAGATGTGCCAAGAGGCAATAAAGAAAATTTCCAAGAAACCCTTTCTGGCAAAATTCAGCCTTACTAAGACATTCATTTGAAAGAACTCATGTGTTGATTCCATGTGATTCCCAGATGTTACCAACATCTTACACTGAACGGGCAGGTGAAGAAGAGATGTAGCCTGGTTTCTCTGTGTCCCCCACAACCAACGCAACATAAATCTTAGAGTACGTTTTAAGTTTCCTACTTTCATCATCTTTTAATGTTGTGAAGTTAAAGTGATCCAGAGGCCATACGAATTTTATATGATTGATCTAAGCAATAAATCCAGGGTTTACGCACAACAATTACTAACCTGTCCCAAATCTACCCGTTCTATACCATATCGGTACAATTTTGAAATATCATGATAGAGGAGTTCAAAACGCCACCAATATTATTTATGGTACAGAAATATAATGATGAAGTGTTCAACCTCTCATATCTATCAAATTTTAAATTTTATCAACCCATTTTCAAAACATACATGTTAGCGGGTTCTAACCCGGAATTTCACAAATTCGTACTAGTACGTAGGAGGAGTTCGCAAATGGATTTTAAAACCTTTCGCAAATGGATTTTAAAACCTTTCAAAACACGTTAGTACTGGTTTGTAATGATTAATAAATGTTTTGGTACTAGTTTGTACTACAACTTTTAGAAATTAAATAAAAATCTGAAAAAAGTATGGGAGAGACAGCTCTTCATGAAATTAACAATGGGACAGAATTTTACCTCTGCATTGCACTGGCCATTACAGATTGAGGGTTATCTATTAACATTTATTGAGTATTGAATACACCACGGTTATTCACCATTTACAAATTATTAGGAGCAAACTTTTATTACCAGGACCGAGTTAAGGATAAGTAATTCCATTATTTGCTGTAATTTAGTCAACACATAATTATTTTTTAGAAAAAGACATACAATATTGTCGCAAACCAATCTTGATGACCCATGCATTTTCTACTTTAAATTCACTTAACCTGGAGACAAACTTCTGCTTAGCTGCTAGTGGTGTTGCTGCTGTTCCCACCACCCCTAAGCTGCCACTCAGTGATGTAGCTCGGCTTGGTGACCACCTTAGCCACATCGACATCTCCAGTCAGCATTGCCACAACCTTCGACATTGGCGGTCGCTGGTGCGGTGAGCCCTGAGTGCAGACAAGTGCAACACATATGGCTCTAAAAGCTTCATCCTTGCCAAATTCCTTGAGACTTGGGTCAACAATTCCAAGTGCTTGATCCTTTTCATACAGGCCCCATGCCTTAAATTGAAGTTTTATTGTATATAGTTTCAGTAAGCAAAAGACAATACACAGTGAATTGAAGTTTTCTTGTATGGGAAGATCATAGACCAGCATACCCATTCAAGGAGACAGATCTTGCTTTCCTCGAGGGAGTTGTCGGTGTTTGGTCGCCCAGCGACAGTCTCCAGCATGACCACTCCGAATGCAAAAATATCAGCCTTTTCTGACAAATGGCCTCTCATTGCATACTCAGGAGCTAGATAACCCCTTAAAAAAGATAAGACAGGTTAATAGTAGCATTCATATTGATGTTATAATCATAAGATGATAAGTGGTAAAATATTCTTACAATGTGCCCGCAATTCTAGTGCTCACATGAGTTTGATTTTCATCATAGAGTTTGGCAAGTCCAAAGTCAGAGATCTTTGGAACGAGATTAGTGTCAAGTAGAACATTACTAGCTTTGATGTCTCTATGCACAATGCGTATACTTGACTCTTCATGAAGATAAATTAGGCCTCTTGCTATTCCTAAAATGATCTCGAAGCGCATTACCCAGTCTAGGTTTAAGTTGCTGTCACCTTTACAAGCATAAATAGCTCAGTTATCATAAGGAACGCAAATTATTACAAAAATGCAGAAAAGAAAAATCCATAATTATTAGTCATGAAGCAATGACACTACAACAAAAACCAAACCTTATGTAGAGGCTCTTTTGTAGAGACAATTTTCAAAACGCCTCTAAGTTTTGAAGCTCTATAGTCTAAAGACACTTTTTAGAGTCACTTTTAAAATCGCTTAAAATATTTTTATTCTAGAGACACTTTAGAGATATTTTTAGCATACTTTGTTAAATTTATCTTATAGAGACATCTTTTCGGCACTTTAAAATTTGCCTCATATGTAATGGCATTTTCTTAAGGCATTTAAAATGATGTAAAGGCATTTTTCCAAATATTAACATATATAAAGTAAGTAGATATAAGTAACAAAATTAACATATTTGCATGTAATTATATGAGGTTGAGATGGTTAGTGTATTGAAGATAAAAATGTTCAACTCAAGAGGTCATGAGTTCAAGGATTGATAAGGGATAATATTTTTCTTTTTTTTTTTCATATTGATTTGCTAGTTGCCGCAACATATTAATGCCTCTACAAAGTGCCTCTATTTGCATAGAGACATCTTATAAAATGCCTCTTAGATCATAGAGACAATTCACCAAAAGACACTTATGAGACACTCTTCAAAATGTCTCTATAACATTGTAAAGGCATTTTAAAAATGTCTCTATAGTGTTAGGAAAATGTCTCTACAAGGTATATTTGTTGTAGTGTGAGTTTTATTTGTGAACTAAGAAAATACAATTCTATAAGTGCCGAGGGTGGCAATTTTGCAGAAGTGAACTCACCAAAGATTGCTCGATCCAGGCTTCCATTCTCAAGGTACTCATAAACCAACAAGGGTGTTTTACTGTCAATGCAGCATCCATGCAATATCACAAGATTCCGATGTTGAACAGCTGAAATTGTCGCAACCTCTGTCACAAATTGGCTTGTCCCCTGATGAGATGACTGAGAAAGTTGCTTCACAGCTATAACTCTTTCATCAGGTAGCTTACCCTGATAAAGTTTTTACATGTATATTTTGAGCATAGACAAATGTGGCTAAAACACAACACTTAAATGCCAAAATCACACAAATTTATAACCAGTTGCAGTTGTACATGATTAATTATGGAAATAAATTAAGAACCTTATACACTGGCCCGAATCCTCCTTCCCCTAGAATATTTTGAGAATTGAAATTGTCTGTGGCTAGCTTGAGCTCAGCGTAACTGAAAACATCAGGTCGTCCAACCAGGTTGTATAGTTCTGCATGTTATTTTTAGTATAGATGAGAAGAATAAACCAGTTGACAATTTTGATGTTTGAATTATGTACTGATAAATCATACCTTCTTTCTGTTGTGCCAATGCTCTCCGCTTCTTTATCAGTGTAAATACTCCAAATAATGCTGCTAATACTAAAACTATTGCACCAATCAATATTCCGGAAATTGCACCTGCCTTACTTTCCCTTTTTGGTATGCCATTTCGCACGGTAGGAGTAAAATCTGCAAAGGAAAAATATTATTTATTAGCAGCCAGTATAACACTTCCTGTTGTCGTTTTAGTGTGGTTCTTACTTGGAGTGACCCTCAATGCTGAGATCATTGGCCCATAGTAACCTTTAATAGGTATGGCATCTGTGCCCTTGCCAGCCCAGAATAGATGGATCTCAAGGAAGTTTTTAGACACAGTTACCATGAAACTCCTATTAACTACGCGAAAAGATTTTCCACCTGCTGTTTTCTTTATATCGAAATCCTTTTCTTTTAGAGCACCCTATGTAAATATCAGTAATACTTTTAGATGAGTAATGGCAAGATTCAGTAGAAACACATTATGTAAAATGCACTCAATTTGTACCTGGATATATATGTCAAAAACTCTTCTACCTAAGCTTAGCCAAGTCTGTGAGTCAGGAAAAGCAAATTCTGCAAATTGGAGCAAAACAGTGTAATTTCCATTCTCAAGTCCAAGGCCGTAGTACCTTAGAGATGATGGTGACATCCTTGCAGTTTGAAACAATTCTGAATGAACTACATTTTGAAAATTTTGGGAGCTATATATAATATTCTTTGCATCTTCTCTCTGGAAGTAGTTCCCTACACTACTGACACCCCATCTTGTTTGACCAGTAACATAATATGTTGCAGCTCCAAGATTTGTAGGATCTGCTTCATAAATAGTGTCATCTGAGCCTCTTGTAGATCCATTACTGCCACAGTCAACTGCGAAGGAATAATCTGCAATTAAGATTAAAAAAATGTAACAATCATTCAAATTCGTAAGTTCATGTTTTTTTGAACGACTAAATTCATAAGTTCATGTTATAGTTTAGTTTTATGAGGATTGAGAAACATACATTTTGGTGACCCACGGAAACAAGGGGTGTCTTGCTGGAGGCAGTTTAGTCCCCAAGGTAGCGTACTGTGCATAATTTGAATTGAAAATTTAAAGTTATTGGGATGATTTTAGTATAGTTCACTCGCCAAATTAGAACTAAATGTCACAAGTACCTGTCACTGGTGCTCTCGAGTAAGAAGTTGTTTGCCACCAAATTCCTTTCAAAAAAACAGAATATTAGAATACATATTTTTTTCTCAGTAACACAAATATCACATTTTTACACTTACAACTGTAAATTGTTTTGGCTAGCCCAAGAAGGAAAGCTCCCAGTGAGTTGGTTGTATGAAAAATCTCTGTCAACATTCCAGAATTATATTATACAAAATTAATAGATACTATTATGAATGTAGTTTTTGCTATACTGCCATGTAAATTGTATTTGACATACATCGCTTTTAATGAAGAGCTTATACCATCTGGCAACCTTCCTGTAAGGCTATTGTTCCCAAGAAACCTGAATTGGGCATAGTTCAAGATTATAGAACATGCTCATCTGCTTAATAGAGGCTTGTTGAACAAATTAATGTAAAGAAAGAATTTCTTACAAGAACTTGAGATTTCCCAAATTCAAGATGGATTGAGGAACTTCCCCGGTGATATTGTTAAAACTCAGGTCCCTGTGCCACAGGACTACCATATTACTTGATCATATGGTACACAACTTGAGGAAATGCGTAATAACATCACCATTTGGCACCATGGCCTATAATTGAGAACTTACAGCAATTCTAAATGTTCAAACTTGGAAAAATCTATTGCTCCGAGATCACTAGATATCTTGCAGTTCCTCAATATTCTGTAACGACAAAATATAACCTTGGTAACTTGCAACTACACAATACTGTAAGCGTTATAGCTAAAAATATCACATACATGGTGCTCAGGGATGTCATATTACTGATAAAAGCCAGTGGAGAGATCCCATTTACAATATCTCCAATCCGTCTGCTCAATATTTGAATTTTTCATAATTTAGTTATCGGCTTTGACATTAATACATTATCAACCTTCAAGAGTTCATGCCACAAAAAGATTATACTTACAAGGTTTTTAATTTGGCCAGATTAGACAGACTTTCTGGAATTGGTCCTTCAAAGGAGTTTCCGTACAAAGCACTACAAGCTCATAATTTTAGAAACAAAGTTAGGGACATTCAACCTTTTTTAAAAAAGAAAAAAAATCTATTTGAGCATTCTTAACAAGATCTCTAGGTATGAATATGCCATGTGGACCGCTTACTGTGATGCATATATGCGCATTTCTATTGAGTGAGGGCTGAAATGTGAAAAAAATGCTATTGTTTAAGTCTGAATGGAGACAATGTGATATACAGACAGTAATTTATCTTGCACAAATTCATCTATCTCTGAACAGTAAGAACAAATGATATGTTAAGAAGCTTACATTTCTACCAAATTAGTTATTGTGCCCAAATATTCAGGTATTTTCCCATTGAATCCATTATCTGATGCTTTCCTGCAAGCAGACCAAAATATCACTTAGCTTGAAAACATGACAAATATAATAGCTGTGGCTATGTTTTTGACAATACAATGTATTCAGGTTCTGAAGTTTTGAGAACGATGAAGGGAACGGACCACTGAATCCAGAACTATCAATGTACCTGTTGTTGAAAGTTTGAAATATTATCATGTTCGACAATAGATATGGCCATTCCAAATTTAGTTCTTTTACAAGTAGAAATAAGAAGCTAGAAATCAATGGGGGTATCTTACAATCGCTGAAGTTTGGTCAAGTTACCCAGTTCTTCAGGAAGGCCTCCTGTAAAATTGTTTGAGCCAATGCCCCTAAAAGAAAAATGAAATATTTCAGAAGTGATTTAAAATGTTTGTCATCATCTAATAGCAAAAGGGCATAGTTTTCCCGATGTGCTATTGGACCCACAATATTCATCATTACAATATGTTCAAGTCCTTGCTGTTTAATCTTACTTGATCATCTGAAAAACCACATGAACAGGAGTTACACTGACATGCCTATTACATCCTATTTAGTAGTAGTTTTGATTTTTTTATTAGAACTTATGTGATTGCTATTTCTTGTATTATTATATCAGTTCATGCAGTCCAAATATATGCTCCATTCGTTTCATACTATCTGTCATTCTGCTTTTGTTGTAAGTCAAACATTTGTATTCCTAAATATCCATTTTTACAAATTTGTATAGTTTAACATTTAGATTCAACATGAGAAATAATTTCATAATGTATAATTCGTACTCCCTCCATAAAAAAAAGCACTTCTAGCTTACAATCTAGACATAAGCTATGCGCATTCATAATCATAAGTTGTTTTTCAAATGGAGGAGGGTGGAAAATGTTCAACTATATATATACGAAAAGTGCTAGGAATTGACGGTTAAAGCTACAAGCATGAGTAGTTCGTAGCAGAGGGAGCAGTTGAAGATTAATCCACGTGTGAGAAAAGATTTCTTACAATGAAACAAGATTGGTGAGGTTTCCTAGTTCCTTTGGAAGTAGTCCAGATAGTGGATTCAAAGATAATGACCTTGAGATGATTAACAATAATTAACAAAAAATAATGACCAATAGATGGAACATGATCTAGAACGAGCAGTAACTCATACAAGTATTGCATTGAAGTAAATTTCCCGATGAATGGTGGAATGGGACCAGTCAAGTAATTATTCCGAAAGTTCCTGAAAAGAACATAAAAATAAACTAGAACAATTAGCCAACACAAAAATGATGCTGAATAGCTGACAAGCATTTGCTGGTGTTCACAAAGAGAGCCATGGAAGTTATATTTTGTGCAAAGCCTTGATCAATAGCGTAACTTTAGTAGCAAGACTCTTTAGTAGTGCCACACCCTCACTACACCATGTCACAAGGTAGCCTGCTACAGATATGTCAGCAAAGGCCAACATATAACATATCTTGTTACATAGTATTGCTGACATATGAGTATTGCTGACATATGGTTTGCCAAAAGCTTTTACTAACATACAGTCTATCAATGATTGTTTATTTTTACCAACAGATGTCTGTTGGTAATCTGATGCCATGGTGTAGTGCCTGATTTCGTTTCAGGGATTTATAAATTATTTAATAGGTGTTGGAAGTGTATTTGGAAGTGTTGGGGTCACCTCCGATGCAAATTCTTCATTTGGTTGGCTATCAATGATAGGTGTTGGAAAGCTGATCAATTGGCTAGGCGTGGGCTGCAGCACTCGGTGAGCTGTCCCCATTGTGATCTAAGTCAAGAATCCATCCAACACATTTTGATCTCATGTGTCTTTTCTCGCCAAGTTTGGACGGCAATCTTCTTGAGGCTGGGGTTAGCCGAGGTAGCGCCTTAGCCCTCTACCGACCGCTTTCTAAGGTGGTGGAGCCAAGCGACCAAGAATCGGCCGAAGAAGGTGCGAATGGGGATTAACTCTTTGGTGACCCTAGTGGCTTGGAAGATTTGGAAGTACCGCAATGACTATGTTTTCAATGGCGCCAATCCTAGAGTTGTGACGATCTTGCAAGTGGTAGAAAATGAGAGTCATCCTTGGAGTGTTGCAGGAGCTTCTGGCCTTCAAAAGCTCGTTTGTGGGACGGCAAGCCTAGGCAGCTAAGCTCTCCGGGTGGTTTAGTGTGTGTGGGTCTCGATAGGAGGGCTCGGGTCCTCCTACTTCGTAAATATTTTTGTTTTTTGGTTTTTTTTTGTGTTGTTTTTACTTCCCCTTAATGAAATGAAATGCAGCTCTCTTGCGTTTTCAAAAAAAGATAAATTATTTATTAAATTCCTTCTAGAGTTTATTTTAAAATGTACATTAATTAAGCAAGTGAATTAAAGTCGGAAATAAAGTTTCCTAAATAAAACATGGTTAATTACATAATTAAATTCTCCATGATTAAAAACACTTTGGAATTTTCTGAGATTCTTCAGAGCTCAATTACTAATTTTAATAATACAAACATCAATTCAATGGTTATATAAATATAAAATAAATTAAAAACCGCCTCTAAACTTTTGGGTCAAATCGAGCCCATCTCCCTCTCTCTCCCCGCTCGGCTTAGCTAGCTCAAGGCACTAGCCCGACCCACCTCCCTCATCTCCCTCCTACCAACATGTGGGACGAGATCCCACATGTTAGTGTTGTCCCCTACATCTGGCCAGAGTCTATGTCGCCTTGAAATCCAACCGCCTCTATTGATCTTTTCCAAAATTAGTTGAGGGCGTTTGTTCCTTATCTCCTCCTCTACCCTTTCCCCAAGAAATCCCCAAAAATACCTAAGTAAATTGTGTGGAATCGGGCTCGAACTCGGACTCTCTCTATCCGGTAGAACTCTAGTTTTTTCCCAGCACTGCCATAGCCGTCTTGGGCAAGGATATGGTCTCTCGTGGCTACAAATAGGATCCACCCCCTATCTTCTTTCCACCGCCACCCTCGCCTGTGCAAATCAACACCGCCGCTACCTTCCAGTCGGGGCACGTCGCTGCTCTATTTGTCGCCTTTGCCCGTTGTCACCTCTGCCGAGTATGCAAGGAGGAGGTGCATTTCGTCTAGCGGTCCTCCATCACCATCTACTGCCAGAACACCACCGTTGATGATGACCCGAGCTACGTCATTGTTTCAAACTCACCGCTATCACCGTCCTTTGTCGTGTCACCTCTCGATGTCTTCGGCTTGTCACACTCAACCTCTCGATGCCCTCTGTTCACGCCGCCGTGCTTGATTCACCAGCGACCTTAGGGTCCCAAGCCGGCCGTCACTGGTGAGGTGACATCATCGGCACGTCAGCGCTATTGTGTTAACACCAAAATTTGGTATGGTTTTTTAGTGCATTCGGTTGAAGAACGAATTCGATCAACCAATGGAAGTTTATCCAAAAGAGACTGATTTCAAAAAGGAATCGTGAAGACCATGGCATGGCAAACTAATTCTATCTATTGATTAGTTAGGATTTATTAACTTTCCTTTTATCTTTTTGAAGTTTTATCTAGTGTCCGATCAAGAATTGTATTTTTTTCCTTTTATCTCTAGGAAACATATGTCTTGTTCAATCAGGACTCGTATCAACCTGAGGGTATAAATATGTACCCCTAGGATGTTTGCAAATTGTCTCCACAGATTAATACAATTACTTTCGGCGCATTGCAACCTTTTGTTCTGGCAAGTTCTTAGTTTCAAGTTGAGATGCATTGGTTTCAATCTCCAACAAGGAAGTAAGTTCTATCAACTTCACTTGTATCGGCATGACTAGAACATTCTCGATTAAGTCATATTTTTTTTTTGGGTTGACGCAAGCATTACCTATCTAATACATTGATTTTATCTTTAACTGCATAGCTATTTATAGTTGAATCGACTTAGTTAGGACTTTCTCGGTTAGGTCCGATATTCTGATTAAGTTGATATTTCTCTAATCATACCGTTGTTTTAGATAAATTTGTTATATCCATCATGTTTGTGCATATTTATCGGCTAAATAGTTTTTTTGATTATTTTCTTCAATCTTATACTGTCTCGGTTAGGTTTAATCTAATAGATGGCTGCTAATAAGTAATTCTACTAAGCCAATAGGTTTTATGCTGTGTTTTTATCAGAGTTCTAGCCGATGTGTTATCTTGTTACTAATTCTCAGTGTTGTATTGTCTTATACTCAAACTTGTATAATCAATAGTTAAATTTCTCTTTATCATCTTCGATCTTATATTGTCTCGATTAGGTCTAATCTATCAAGATTGTTTTAATAAGGAGTGGTTTATTGATGATTATGCATATGTTTAGTTCTAGCCGATGATAGCATATATCTCATTGTTTATCCGATTATCTGAATCTACATCGAGCATATAGCCGATTGATCAAAACCCTATTGACATCGGCAAGCCTCGCTACATCACATTGGCCTATTGGTTAGATGTATCTTGTTAGTTGTAGGATCAAATGAACTAAAATGCCCTTTGATCTTGTTAGTTGTAGGATCACATTGGCCCTATGATCTTATACAATCCATTTATCTATTTTGTTGGTTGTAGGATCAAACTAACTAAAACGCCACGTACACGAATGATAGGACGAGCTATGCAGATCTCTCATGACTTCATGTACGACGAATTCCATGTCAACATGTTGTCATGTGGTTCCATCTAAACCCTGGATTGAATCGGTCTGGGCCGTCGGATTTTGGTCAACTCTTGGTTATGATTTAATCTAGGTTTTCCATCTCAGTGAACCCGTGGACTACCTCTGTGGACCTAGTCTACGGTGGACTGATTGCCGATGACATCATAATTTATCTTTGTCTTCTTTAAAGTAGTTATAATTTATGTAATAAATCTATTTAATCCTTTTAAATAGGCTTTAATTGGATTAAATCTTGTAAAATTCATAACTAATTCTTATGAAGTTGGAATGAGGCTGTTCAAGTCTCATAATTTATCTAAAATCAAGCTCTAAGTGTTTGTTTACTTTTATGTATTGTTTATTTGGTTTTTATTAGTCTTTTTCCTCATTTTGCATGTTAGCTTGTAGTTTCCATCATTTTCGATTATTGCAAGCAAGTTACACATATCCCAAACAATTCCTTTGAGCATGTTGATACAATATTTAAATTCTTCTTTTATTTCAAATGTGTATTTATTTTTGAATGTCATTGGATGGTGTGAACCTTTTTACTTTGAATAGCCAGTTTATATTGATGATCCCATTCCTTGATATCTTGGGATATTACTTGTCTAGCTTGAGCTGCATATATTGGTTCGGCTAGATATTAGTGTAATTTTTTTTGCCATGCTCAGAAACATCAGTATCATTTTACATGGTAATAAGTTCATTTGATGTCCCTTAACTTGTCAACGAATGCGATTTTCGTCCTTCAATCGGAAAACCAGATACTTAGGGTCCCTCAACTATCAAAACCAGTGCAGATGAGGTCACTTGATGGTTTAGATGGTGGTTTTGGCTGACGTGGCACCTATGTGGCTAATTTGACTCGGTCTTCATCTGACGTGGCATTAACGTGGTGCTTATGTGGCAATTTGATCCGGAAAAATAATAAACCCGTGGGACCCACATGTTAGTTTCACACAAAATAATAAAAAATGGTGGGACCCACGTGGGCCCCACATGTCATCCTCTTTCTCCTCTCTTATCTCTATCCTCGGTGGAGTCGGTGGTGGTGGCGTTGGAGAGAGAAGAGAGAGGAAATTAAGGGGATAGAAATGAAGAGAAAGAGATGGGGAGGGAGGAGGAAGAAAGGAGGGGTGAGACAGGGCCCACGTGGGTCCCACCATTTTTAATTATTTTGTGTGTGAAACTGACTTGTGGGTCCCATGTGTTTTATTATTTTTCCGGAACAAATTGCCACGTAATCGCCATGACAATGCCACGTCAGATGAAGACCGAGTCAAATTAGCCAAGTAGGCGCCATGTCAGCCTAAACCGCCATCTAAACCGCCGAGGGACCTCATCTTTACCGGTTTTGATAGTTGACGGACCCGTGGTATCTGGTTTTCCGATTGAAGGACGAAAATCGGATACGTTGACACGTTAAGGGACTTCAGATGAACATATTCCTTTTACATGCGATAACTAATGATTCACTCATGATTAATGATGGTTAATTAATGGTATATTGTGATGTTTTGTCATGGTTGATTAATAATATGCCAACTAAAACTTGATTAATGGTAAGCTTTGAGCACATGGATACGATGGTCGTGCTCATGGCAATTAAGGAACGGTTCACGAGCTACTGTGGTGAAGCATTAACCGTACTAACCACAAGCCAGCATGAGCAATGACTGGACTTTTTGTATAGCATGATTCGTTGTAGAGAACCAGACTAATAAGCCCACGTGGGTCACAACGCGTCTATTCTGAGTTATGGAAAGACGACGATCTGAGAATGGTGAACTACTTTGAGTTGTGCTATGCGAATGGTCTTGTTAGAATTTCACACATGGTGACATGTTAAGCGTGGGCACATGATGACATGGTGACAGGTTGTGGAATTGTCTTGTGGGTACATTAGTACATATCTGGCCAGAGTAAAACTGTTCGAATAGTTGTGCACGCGGTTATGGGCAAGCCTAACAGTGTTTTTTTTGTGATTAGTCACACACTACTTATTAATGATAAATAAATTGGTAATGATAATTTGTTAGCTCTTTGTATGGACTTTAGTCAGTGTAGTCGGGTTTGGTTGTTTAGAGATGGTTGGGCCTATGGAGCATAGGTATGTTGTACAGTGTTGATTTTATATTGTTTTGCTGAATGTTGCTTTTGCAAATGAACCCTATCATACCTTCCTTTGTATCACCATGCACCTGTATTTTTTCTGTGTGGCTTATGGAGTATTCCATGTACTCGCCATACAATAATCATCAAATCTCAGTTGAAGAAAATTTTTGAGGAAGAAGACATCTGGCTTATATCTCAGTTGAGCTGTGCGTGGAACTAGAGCTGAAGCTAATGCTATATCGTTTGTAAGCTATTGTTTTCTTTTTATTTGTAAGTAATATCTAATGTTATTATTATATTGGATTATTGAATTGTCGTTTCTAGTATATCGGCTAATTACTAGACGAGAATGCACAAATTAATTCGCTAATTACAAGCTAGTGAATTTCCCGATGCGACTAGTAGCAAGATTAATTAAGAAGAGAAGTCTTGGATACCGTACAGATCCACTAGATGTGTGAGATTCTGTAGCTCCGTAGGTATTTGACCAACTACATTCAAATTAGTTACCCTCCTGCATAAAAAACAAGTAAAAATACTGATAAGAGAACTGTGTTTGGGATACATATATACAGCCGGAGGACCAAATTAATACCTCCATTTGGGTCCAGCAGATATGTACAATTTTTTTAAGGAAGATATGTACCGAATTTAGGATAGACTTTTCTGATTCCTCTACGCATTCCTTGGAGATACTAATTAATATTAATAATCTGGTGTTTATATATATATGTTTTTTAATTTGTATACTTGCAGCATATACGTGTGTATGCATGGGCTCTTTCAGGCACTGCGTGGAGCACATATGATGAAACCACGATAAAGATAAAGAGAGTGTGCGTACAGTCTGGTAATGTGGCAGAGGGTGTTGTTGCTGTCCGTGCAATCGCACTTGATGAACGGGTTGATGTTGGGGTAGTAATCCCAGTCAGTTTTATCAGTGGCAAAACCGCTGCAGAGCTCGCCGCTGATGTTCCACTCCGGCGATGCCTTCTTGCCCCATCTCCCCAGTATCGTGTTCAGAGCAGCCGCTGCATGGTTAATTAAACTCTCCATTATTAATCATGCGGATGGAAGCTAGCTAGGCGATTAATGAATTAACCATCTTTATCTACTGTAGAAAAATACTACGTACAATTAAGATGTTATTTATAATAATTTAAACTAGATTGGTCATTTAAAATCACAACAATAGTGATGTGGCCAAGTACATCATCTTAAATATAAAACTAAGGTGATATGACTTAATAAGATAGGAAAATATGAGAGATAATTTGCACAATATACTACCAACTATCGAAGGAATAAAAAAACAATTCGGATGATGTGGCTTAATAAGAAAAGATATAAATAGTAATAATTACTACGGTTAGGAATGGACTTTATAAAAATATATAGGATAGAACTTTATATAAATATATAAGATTTCTCTAACTCTTTCGTTTCAAGGCGGCAAGAGGGGGACACCATATCAATGTTATCAACCACAAATTACAACTCCTGCGATCTAGCTACATGGAGGAAAACCAAACTAGAGAGACATGCATATGCATGCGTGATACGTATATACGTACGCGTGCATGATTAATTGCTCGCTTACCTATAGATGGCCATATGGCCCGTGGCCCACGGCCCGGCCCAAAGCACGGCTGTTTGGCCAAGGACGGCATGGCCTGACTGGGGTTGTGCCCGTGCCAGCCCAGCCCGACAGCCGGGCCGTGCTTGGGCCGCACCTTCGGCACGCTGGGCCGGCACGGCACGGCCCGGTCAAATAAAAAAAATATAGGGATTTAAAATAGACTTAAATAATCATATAAGGCAAGGCCCAAGATAAGAGGTATACAAAATAGACTTATTTTCCAGCCATTTAAACACAGCCCACAAAGTTGAGCGACCAAAAATAGACTTTTTCTATGAGGAAGCACGATGGACCATCGTGCCTTCGGGCCGGCCCGGCACGGCCCGAGTAGTATTGGGCCGTGCCTGGGCCGTGGATGCCGCCCGTGGGCTGGCACGGGACGGCCCGGTGTGTTGGTCGGGCCGTGCCGGCCCAATAAGCCTTGGCCTAGGCACGGCCATGCTTGGGCCGGGCCGGGCCGGGCGGCCCATTTGGCCATCTATACGCCTACCTTCGACTGGATCGGTTTTTGGTGCTTGCTGAGCCTGAGCAGCTGCAACCTGCCATGAGCACAAAATTAGCACCAGCCACGCCAGATGGTGGCGAATGACACCTCTGATGCCGCAAGAACGCATCTCTCTCTCTCTCTCCCCTGAAACAACACTGCGTGGCTTGTTAATTAAAGATATGACCTCTAACTTATATATATACGTAAAAGAGGTCATCTAGACGGTATGTGTGTACGCGTACCATATAAAGATATGAAAGCACGGTATGTGTACAAGTAAACGTTAAAACTTATGGTCAACTAATTAACTTCGCCCACAAAGCTGAAGTAACCCCTCGTGCTAATAAGGATAACCAGATCCATCACGTTTGATAACGACATACTGCATACGTAGCAAGTATTTTAATTTGGAATCCGGAACCAATTTAATCATTTGATAGACGACCTTTTCAAATTGATACCGTGCTTTCATAAATCGTTATGTATCTAACTTATAAAAATGAGTTATAATGCCATGAAGTATTTGGCTAATGCTTCTACACCGACGATACAGTCACTACTCACTACCAGAACCCAAAATTTAGTTCAAAACTACAATGTTTATAGCTCCAAAGTAATAATGGTGCTAGGATTTAAACTCTAAAATATGTAGGCCTTAAATCTATAGGTTTAAGATAAATTTGGTGTTAAATATATAGTTTTGTGATAATTTGATTAAAATACCTATAGATTAGTGAAATTTAACGAATACAACACAATGATATAATTTTTTTGAGAGGAATATACAATGATATAATTGATCAAAGATTGGACAAAAAATTTAGGAAAAAGAACATTTGTTTTCGTTGCCACAAATTGTGTGGTTTTCTTCTTATCCTACACCCAAACATATATACGAGTTATACTATTATGTAAAGTAATATTACAAGCAAAGTGGATTAAGGACCAAACCACGTGGGCAAAACGGCAATCAAAGAACAAATGTTTAACAGTTTTCTCTTCGTGATATTAAGAACAAGTCTTGTTTCCTCCTATTCTTTTTAATCAGATTATCTCTTGTTAAAACTACTGCCCGACGTAAGTACCATAAGAATATCTTAATCTTTAGGAGGGCTTTGATCTTCTAAATTCTTTTTGTCTATTGGAAACTCCGGTCTACACCAATGCAAGATAAAGAGATTTAACCGAGAACCTCCCATCACTGGTTAGAATATTCCATTTAAACTCATTGGTCGTGAGATAATATAATATTAGCGATGCGTGAGAGAAGATGATTCCGCGCTACTAACTTAGAGCGAGTATGGTTCCTGTGCCAAGGAAAATATAGAGGTCTAGTCTGAAAAGTTTTCGTAAAAGACACAAGGGTATTGTTCTCCTAAACATGCAGTCTATTTAACTTACCAGGACATTTGACCTGAAATAAAAAAAAGGTGAGTTTGAGCCGTGCACGTACGACTTGTGGAGAACGAACATTTGGATATGGTGGAAACTGAAAAGGCGTCAAATGCATGTGCTTAATTAAGTTTTTACTTGGTCTGCGGAGCACAAGATATGCATAGGAATTTAAGGGAGTTTATTTTTTCCGGGCAGCATCCTTCGCCGTTTTCTGAAGTCTCCTCTCGTTTCCGTGCTGATATAATCTCTGCGTTTTTCACTCTTTGTCATGGCAAGTTGCATAGTTGCAAAGATTATCCACGCGCGGCATTCAATTTGTTCGGTTCTTATGTTTCTATTTTAGTACTTTCATCTTTTGTTTTGCTTTCGCATTTGAGTTGCTGAAATTTTCTATTTAACCATCTATATATTTGTATTTCAATATTTTAGACTTGATTTTAGAGTACTTTTAATGGAGTTTTTTATTCAGCATTAACGTTTAAATTGCTTAGAATACAAATATAAAACTTGTATTTATAAATTATGTTTTTCACTAATAAACCGTTAACATCACTGTTGGCAACTTTTTGTGACAAGTTGACAAGCACACGATCGCAGCATCTAAACGCCTTGTGGTGATCCTAGAGTCGCCAACCACCTCGATCTAGCAAAAGCTAAAGCAAGATGGGTTTGTTAACTAAACCGGTTAGCGGAGCCGATTCTAGATAACTAACCGTCTCGTGGGCAAAACGAAAGGTTTTCAGTGTTAGTGATATGCCCTAGAGGCAATCATAGAGATGATCGTGTCACACACTATGTTTACATATTTATCCGACTTTGTTTCTTAAAATAGATAAACTCATTATTGGTTAATGAATATGTGATTCTTTCATCAGACTCTTTATGTTATGTGTTGCTATTTCTAAAGGATCCCTGATCAAATATCATATGTGGAACAAATACGTTTATATGATCAACACATGTATTAATTGATGATAATGTCTTATGGATCATGGTATAGAGATACCAAATTAATAGTGTGGACACATGTCATGCCTGGAAATAACCCAACGGGCGTTCCTTACGTGCGTGTATTATTCCTTGTCCTAGGAGGCAAGGTACACCGAAAGTTGATACAATTCAGAGTTTAACAAGCGGAAGCGTAAATAATTAATTTATTACATGGGCGGCGAAGGCCCAGCACACAAGAAGACAAACGAAAAACAGCGGAAGACTAGGGCGACGACCACAGGCGCTTGACGGCAGGCACGAGCTAGACACCAAAGCCTTCATCTTCCAGGAACTCCTCTTCTGGGTTTGGGAAAAATTGAGCAAGACTGAGTACAACCACCGTACTCAACAAGACACACCCACAAGTGCAGAATAAATGCAAGGGAGTACAAGGGGGTTATAATATAAGGGGTTAGGGTTTGCAGTAACAGGATTTAAAAGACACTTAGTTGCCCAAAGATATTTTATAAAGACGATCCTAGAGCTATACAAGATTATTAATCAAGGCCGTGAACCCACACGAACCTGCCTTAACCCAAGGTCTACGATGATTCAGACCGAACTGGCAACCCGACCCTGGGTCCTAGCTCGTCCCAAGCCAACCCAGGCCAACCGTTCCATATTTTAGTTGTTATGCTGGTTTTAAGAATTAAAACACTAACTTGGGTACATTGCTCGGCTTGCCCATAACCGAGGGCGCGGCTATTCGAATAGATTATACTCTGATCAGAGGTGTACATCTTTACCCACAAGACACATCTTCCTCACGTGTAACCACGTGCCACATACCACCACGGTATACGGACGGAAGACGTGACATAGTTTCCAACCCATCCTAGCCATAGACAAGAGTACCGACCCAACCCCACCTACGGCCGGAACCTCTGGGACAGGTAGGCAGGACTGAGTCCCTAGCAGCAGGACACCGGCCCTGTGCCATGACATCTCGACTACCGGGCCGCAGCTCGTGTAGCCTTCATTTGCCCTAGAGATGTCCATCGACCCCCGACTTCGTCCATCTCCATCCGTGTACTTTTGTTTATAACCAGACTGAGCCACAAACTAAGCCTTACCCACTAGACATGTGGAAGTACGGTAGTGCTTTGCAACAGAGGCCCGAAGACCAGTCCTTATATGGCCGAGGTGCTACTGTCAAAACCATGCACCCCGACCCCAGCCTAAAACCATTTTGAGGATTTTGAATAGAGGGGGAGGTGTGAATCCAATTCCACAATAATCCATCCATTCCATAGTGTCCAGGTGATGAGAATATTCCCAAAGTCTAGAGTTGTAAAACCACCTAATGTTGCCTAATTAACCAGCGAAGCATCTACCTAAATTCATACTAGGGGTACCATGAGTAGAGTGTCCACTAGTTGGGGTTTTGTTTAATCTAGGGTGAATAAGGTAATAATATCAATAACAATAATAATAAGTTCATAACAAAGGTAAATAGGCATGGCTAAATAAAACAATGATAACGCGGGAATTTAAGTAAAGCGATAATGCAATAATTTAAATCAAAATAATTTTATAAAATGGGATCCAATATGTTCAAGGATGATATGACTTGCCTTGCTCACTTTCCCAAACGTTGGCTTCAACCTCCACGAAGAGCGGATCTTCCGAAGCTGCAGCGTCTGCACGACCAACGGAAAAGAAAAGGGCTTTTACTTTAATAAACTCCATATAACAAGCAGGAACAAAGCACAAAAATGGGTTCTTGACTTCTTAAGGAAAAATTAGAGACTTGAACGGTCCAATTCCGAGTTCAAATGGCCAAGTTATGGCCATTTGAAGTTTACATGCTCTTTAAATGAATATTTGCGAATTTCTTCATTTAAATTTTAATTTAAAAAGGGTTTATTGCGTCAGCCGAGGGGGAGGGGCGCGCGGACCGGGTCCACGGGAGTGGGGCCCACGCGGCAGCCTCATGGTCCACGGTGGACCGGGCGCACCCGGGCTCGCACCGGCCGGCGCCGTGGGCCCCACGCGTCAGCCGCACCCGAGGGCGCGGGCGGCTGACGGCTGGGCCCCACGCGGCAGCCACTTGGCGCACCCGAGGGCGGCCAAGCCGGCGCGGTCGGCGGGAGGCGGCGCCCCCGCGCCTCGATGGTTGCCGCCGGCGACCACCGGCGCCGCGGAGCGGCGGCCGAGAGAGGGGAGGGAAGGGGGAAAGGAGGCGACGGTCCACGGCTCACCCCGGGGCGACGGCGGCGACGGAGGAGGCGGCCGAAGCGGAGGGAGGCGGCAGTGCGGCTCGGGTCGACGGGGTCGGCAGCGCTCCGGCGGTCGGCGACCGAAACGGAGAGGTGGACGAGGTCGGCGAGGATGCGGCGAAGCCGAAGGAGGCGGCGCCGAGGTGGGAGGCGGTCCAGGGCGACGACGGCGGCGGACCGGAGCTCGGCGGCGATGGTGGAGAGAGAGAGCGACGTCGCGAGCTCGAATCCGGCGAGGTGGAAGGGCGGCGAGAGGCGGAAATGGACGGAGGAGGTGCGGGGAGGGTTTAAATAGGGTTGGAAGGGGGAGAGAGCGGCCGGAGGGGAAGGAAACCGGCGCGGGAGGTCGGCCGCCATCAATGGCGCCGGCAAGATTTGCGGGGGCAAATCCGCCTGTTTGAACGCGAGAGAGGGAGGGAAAAATGGGGGGAAAGGGAGAGGGAATCATGAGGAGTATTTCCCCCTACTTCACTGCACGCGGGACGGCGGGAGGCGGCGGGATTCGCGGCGGCGGCAGCGCTAGGGCGCGGGCGAGGCGGCG